GGCTTTGCAAGGAAAGCTCTTCATGCTGGACAAGGGAAAACCCAAGTGCCTCATGCCGGCAGCCCAGCAACCCTTGTACCTACCTGGGGGACAGCAGCCGACATCTGCCACCCTGCTGGTTCAAACCAGGAGATGAGGCCCCTCGTGGCACAGAGACATGTATAAGCAACTAAGAATGGTTCAAGAGAACATCTAAGGTATACAACAGTCCAGGGTCCATGTGCTTCCAGAACTTTTCATATTCATACAAGAGTTTACAAGAGCTGCCATATAAAGTGATTGACCCAGTCCCAGAGAGAAAATAAAAAACACAAACATTGAATTTTCTTCAAGTATAGCTAACCATTCCCAGGAACAGAGCTTGGAGAGGAGCTGTTAACACGCTTTCTGCTGGCATAAGTCTCTGTGGTCTCTTTCTTATCATTAAGGAACAGAGATCTCATCCCCGGGGTTAAATTCCCTCTACATAGACCACTCTCACTGCATCTGTCCACCGCTTATAGCGGTGGCTCTTAGGTTGAGACTGTTTTGGTGAAGAGTGTGTTTTGTCTGCAATCAAAATCCAGTTCATTCTAGATATGCACTGCATAAACTTGAGTTAACCTCTCAACCTTTCTGGACTTCAGTTTTCTCCTACGTGAAATGGCGAACTCATAGAATCACAGGACTCCATGATCAAGATTAAATAAATTAGCATCTGTAAGACACCCAGCACAAAGAAAGAGAACACATGGCCTTCCCTCCCTGACCGGCTGAGGAAAGCTAACCCCAAGTAAGAGGTTGTATTCCTTAAAGGCAGAGACTCCAAGGGCCTAGTGTTATTCCCAGGTGAGTGTCGCATCTTGACTAAAAGAGCTATGAGCCCCAACACAAGGAGACGCCAGGACTGGACATCTGGCTCAAGCTGCCAATCACATTCACACTTCCAGGGGTCTGGCCCTATGTTCCTAACAGTCAATCTCTTTCTGAGGCTAAAATATTAATGTTTTGGTAAGGTCAGAAAGGAAAAGCATGTATGATAAAGCAGAAGTGCAGGAAGAAAAGTAGGAGGGATTTCTATAGCCTCTTGCTTCCATCTGTCCCCTCTAGAGTCCTGAACACCACTGTCCAGTGAGACATCCCCTAAGGGTCTCTTGCCAGCTGAAGCTATTCCAGGGATTTCCACCTTACAGTGGTAAGAGATTTTACTGAAGCATCTCACCTGCTCCACACATTTGTAGGCTTTCTAGAGTTAGTGTCGCCCAGTACTATAACTAGGGTTAAATTGCCCAGTAAATAAGATAAAACCAAATGAAGTCTATTCTGAATCACAGCAGCCACCCCACCACAAAGTTTCTGGGGCTCGTCTTCCCCCATTGAAGTCGCTGGTAGATTCAAACCTTGGGAGACTCTCAGTTAGCAGAGTAGTTTATAAAGAGCTCTTTATAAGCAAGGTAAACCCCTGTAGAATTGTTCACTGTGGATTAGCAGGTAAGCACAAGGAAGCCCATGTCTGTCTGGTTCACTGTCCAGAGGTCTCACTTTGAAAAGAGGCTTTGATTCCACAGAAAGGTGCTAGCTATGGAGTTGGGGGAGAGACAGATCCTAGACAGACCTAGAAGCAGGATCTTTTTGTGGCAAAAAATGTGTAACTACTCATTACAGATCAGTCATTCCCTTGCTTACTGGGTAATTCAACACCGTCAGACCCCTGAGGAAGCTGATGGGCAATCTCCTCCCATGCAATTAACTGTCTCTAAAAACCTATGAAGGGTCTGTTATGGCTCGGTTCTGATTTCAAGGTACACAACAACAACAACTGAAAAAAAGCCATGCCACGTTTTGAGGGACACACGATTTCTGGGCAGGTACCAGGGTTAAGGGTCTCTGCATGGCCTGCTTCTGCCTGGGCTGGTATGATTCTCAGGACTGGAATGCAGCTGGCCTCTGTCTGTCCCTGCCAGACTACACTCTAAGGAGGGAAAGGCTAAGTCCTTTCCATCCCACTGGACCTGAGCCCCCCATCCCCACTCCAGAGCAGGGGGCCCTGTGATTCTGCAAGGTGAGACAGGGGAGCTGACTCACAAACATCCTATTAGGCCTCTACTGTCCTCTTGGCCTGGCCTTCAAGTGGCGCCCAATGAACCTCCTTTATACATTTGTTAATCATTCCCATGTGACAGGAGACTGCTCCTCCTCTCACTCCCGATCCTACTAACCATGGACTGCTGGAGGGCTTGTTCAATCTCCTCAGAGTAGGAATAGTAACTTACCTTGTGGGGTGCGCATTGGGATTAAACTAGTTAACACACATAAAGTCTAAGGTAATGGGGCAGTGGGGACAGTGACTGTGCAGCTGACTCGGACCATGGCCCCTCTGGGTGTGTCCATGTACACCTGTGCTCCACAGGGTTTTCAATACGCAGTTTCATGGCAGCAGATCACCAGGCCTCTGAGGTGCCTCATCATGGATTCAAACTGCCAGTCCTCCAGTTAGCAGCCAAGTGCATGAACCAATCTTCATAAATGGACATTATTTATTAGGAGAAATCATTGCACCTTATGAGAGACCAGACACTCAGAATTCCTAAAACACCTCAGTGGAAGGTGGGGTGCAAAGAGGACTTCTGAGATCCCCCCCATTACCAGAAACACCCTCAAGCTCCCTGAGCCCTGCCCACACACAGTTTCTTTTCCAGCCCAGAAGGCCTTGGTCCCCAACAAGACTTGGCTGCTGCCCCAGTCACAGCTTCAGTGGTTTTTCCTCTCCTTTCCCATAACTTAGAGTGCACTAAGGGAACTCTTCAAAGTGCTTCAACTGATAAATGAATAATAATAATTAATCAATCAATCTACCCTTGGGGCCTGAACCTACTTCCCAGGCTAAGACCACTGCCTTTTTATGATCACATTATGAACTTCTGTAGACAGACAACCAATAGCCTCCACTGCACTAGACAAGTGGTACCCTCAAACCCTCCCCTTTCCAGAAGCAGAAGGTCTGACTCCAGAGGCCTCAGCACTGAGGAGACGCATCTACCTGCTGGGGTCCTAGACCTGTCCTAAAATAGGGAGTGTCCTCCAAAGCTCTGCTTGTATCCCAGCAAAATCTAGGACTGGAGATCTGATGCTCAGCCCAGCCCTCCAGCTCTGGGCCAGAGGAACAAAGAGAGAGCCTGAGTTCACTGTATTCTTTCAAATGTGCTTCTACGTTTATTTGGGTATTTAAACAATCAGAAAGGACATCATGCATCAGCCACTTTCTACTTTTTTACAACAAAACTCAGAACTCCCTGTCTCTATGGAGGTCTGGAGCTGTTTTCTTTTCTTTCCGTAACATCAGGCAGACTTTCACTGTTATTCAGTCTTGCACAGTCACTGGAGTGTCGCATCATGAATTATTAAATCAGTGCTTCGTGGTAATACATAATTTCTTATCAATTATTCATGCTAATGTGTGTATAGTTTACTTAATTGTGTTATTGACGATGAAAAGTAATTTCCTGAAAGTCCTCAAGGACACAAAATTTAATCAGCATAACTACTTTTCAGATGCAATGCTGTTAAGTATTCTTAATTTGCTCAACAGTTCACTTATTTATGTACCTTTCTGGAGGAAATACGAGTTTAATCAAACAATTAGATTGAAGAGTTAGTGTACATAAGGACTTGAGCTTACATTGTTCAACCAAACACTTGTCATTATCGAGAAGAAGAAGAGACTTTTTGCCATTTTCGGCAAATCACTTCATCTTTGTTCTCCACAAGCAAAATACAGCAGGAGGAAAGGCTTGGTTTTCTTTAAAGGACACACTAACAATAGCTGTTTGCATGGGAACACTGTCAGTAACCCAAAGGCTGCACTGTGTAGGCCCAGGCCGCTAGCCAGGGGCAGTGCTCCCAGATTGCACTTCTCCTTCAGGCTCCTGAAGTTTTCAAATCCACAGGAGAAAGACACACTAGGTCAAAACAACAATCTGTCAAAATCAGCCCTTTGGAATTAGTTCACTTCACATGTCTGGCAAGCCCTCTTTCCCATGGTCTGTTTTGCCGCTACACTAGCCCACCTCATTTTTTTATAGCTTTTTCCAGTAAAAACACTCTGGTGAATGTCCTCTCCACACCTGGGCCCTAAGGAAAGGTCATTGTCCCAGTGCATGAAGATTCCAGAAGTCTCCAGCAGGGCGTCTCTGCCCAGTGGCTTTCAATGTCCCGTCAGCAGACAAGGGACCACTTGCAAGTTGGCTGACATCCTACCGACCTGGAGACTACTCAGAGATGCCAGCTAGAAGGCAGTGTCTTCTGCAGGACTCACACTTGGCTCAGTGGCTGCAGCTTCAAGTGTGTGGCCCTTGTCATGGAAGGATGAGCTGTCTAGTTGGCCCAGTTGCCCACGTTAGACCTTCCAGTTGACACTCCTTGGGACAAGGCCACTATGTTCTCCTGGGACAGGTTGTGTTTTCATGTCTCCCATCCCACCTCACAGCTTCTCAGACTGCCTTCAAACCAAGCCACAGCCTATACCTGCAACAATAGGGGAAAGGGCATTGTTGCTTGTCTGTGTGGAGAACAAGAGCTGAATAGGATGGAACCAGCATCCTAGTTCTAGACAATGTAACGGAATTAGTCCCATTTCATACTGTAAGCACTTCAGGCCTGGGCCTGCTCTCAAGGTTGGCCCACACCACAGGAGCCCCGGATGAAGAACAGGGCTGGCAAAGCAATCCCACCTCCTCCAAGGCTTCTGAGTCTACATGGAGGCTCTACTGATTGCATCAGAGAGGTCTACCACCAAGACAGGCCAGTGAGAAAGACTCTATTCCTAAGAAGCCAGGGAAGCACAGGCCCACTGGCAGAACTCCAGAGGGCTGGCGCAGGCCCTGGACTTGTTGTAGGTCTCTTTCCCTTGCACTGTCCACAGGAGGGCCCTGGGACAATGGGCTCCTCCGTGGTGTGAGAGTTTCAACAGGGATGAAGCTGGGGGAAACAAGCAGAGGAGGGTGTGCTGGGCTTCAACAGCTTCATACGCTCTTCTCGCCCTCGCTCTGTTCCTTGGCAGAAGGGCTGTTGTGCTGGCTGCCATCTGGGGGGGCTGGCTTGGCCACGGGGCTGGGACTGCTGCTGGTGGATGGCAAGAGGTTGGCCGACTGCAGGACAGCTTCCGAGTGTTCACGGGCCTTCATGCGCAGGGCAGCCACGCTGGCCGTGCGGTGACTCTGGCAGCCGTAGGTGGGGAGAAAAGACAGCCCCATGGGGTCTGGGACACAGCATGAGCACAGGGGGCTCCCTGGAAAAGGAAAAACATGGTTCCAGTTCCACCATCCACAGATCATCTTCTGAGATGGGCAGAAAGGAGAGGATGGGGTGTGAAGTGTAGACAGGTCCATGGGAGGGTCAAGACATTTGTGGAATAGTTAACAAGCAGTGAAATCCCAAAAGCACAAAACCTAAGGGGTCTAGTTGATAATCCTGAGAGCTATCAAGGACTTGGAACTTGGCCTGAATCCTTCATTAACCAGTTATGTGGCCTTGGGCCAAGTTCTTTACTTCTTCCAGCTTCCCCTTTTGCTTCTAATAAATGGGGTAGTATCCATCCCACACAAACTTATGAAGATTCAGTGACACAATCTCACTCCCAAAACTATGTGCCAAGGCATCCCTTAAAACTTACTGGAACATCACAGAAACATTTTCTATTTTCAAGTCACAATGCCATCCTCTCATCCGCCCACCGACACTGAGCTGGAAGCAACTCCCAGCTAACCTGCAGCAGTTCTCAAGGCTGGAAGGCACTAGGGAGGAGATTGCCTGTCTTTCTCAAAATAGCTGGTTGAGTTTTTTGGACTCAGCTAAATAATGAACAGAACAATGAAATATTTCTTGTGCCTAAAGGCACACAGTTCTAATACACCAGCTGCTCAGTGAGGGAAAGATAAGCAGTCTCCCCCCACCACCACCCCCATGAAATTTATTGTCTCTGAAAACCTTCTATAAGGTCAACTCTGAGTCCTTCCTACTCAATGACACATAACAATATTAAATAGTCCATTAACTAGTTATGTTCCAAGAGTGTCCTTGGGAAGCTCGGGTTGCAAGGTAAGAAGTTGTAATGTCAAACCAAAACCAAGAGGTTAGCATCTACCAGCTGCTCTGCCAGAGAATGATGAGCAATCTCCTCTTGTGCAATCTGCAGCCTCTGAAAACCTGCTAGAGGCTCAGCTATGAGTCAGTTTCAACTGGTCAGCCATAAGGAGTAGTCGTTATAAGAGGAGTAGTCATAATAAGGGCATCTCTGGATAGCACAAATGATGAATATATTAGGCATAAAGGGTGGAAGTTGACATCCACCCAGAAATTACTTAGAAGACAGTTCTTCACAAACCCAGTCATTGAATATGCTCTGGAGCTCATTCCTACCATGTCACAAACAGGGTCCCTGTGTGTTATAACTGACTCAATGGCAACTGGTGGGTGTCACAAAAAATAAATAGGTCCCAGTGGGTATTAGAAACTGAAAAGGTTTGAGAACCTCTGAAAGAACCACCTTGCAAAGTTCTTTGCATGAGGCTTGAGGTGTAGAAGGAAACTTAGGGGAGACCAGCAGAAATGTTTGTGCCACTGGGAGGCAGAACAGCAGGCTTGACTGTCATAGCAACTCAAGAACCCCCAAGCCCTAGTTCACTTACCCGGCATTTGCATGTTTACCCAGTGAGGAGTTCCCGAGCACCAGGCACTGTTAGGCCCTGCTGAGTACACAGGAGTAAGACCACCAGACCCTGCCATCTGCAGCAAACACACAATGGGGAGGTCACCAGAACCAAGGCCACTCACCAAGACATCCAAAATACCAGGTCAAGGGCGATGTGTGCTGTGAAAAGTCCAGACTGGGTAGGGCAGAAGGTTGATGTCAAAGATGAGGCATCCAGAGTGGGGAGAAAGGCATTTGCCAAAGCACAGATTGAATGAAGCAGAGCTCATTTGTTTCGCAAACAATGAGACTTTCCCAGTGATCAGAGGTTAGTGACTACAAGGAGGAAGCAGGAGATAGGGGCTAGCAGGTCGAGGGACCAGCAGGGCCAGAATGCCCCATAGCCATAATGGACAAGGGAAGGAAAGCCCTTATCAAGTGTAGGCATAGTCTGATCTTATCCATATCAAGGGGAGGGTAGGAGTGGGCACAGCCAGCAGTGGTCAGACAATGGTGGCTGGGGTATGGTGATGTGAGCTTGTCAGTCAGTTTTATGCTGAAGAGTGGAATCTGTGTTGCTGCTGAGGGTCTAGAGATGATAAGCACAGAGAAAAGATTTGCTGGCGGCCCTTAGGCCAGTGCACAGAAGTGAATAGAGGTACATTTCCAGAAGGGTTTCAGACAGAGGCAGCCTGTGGGCAAGGGGACCTCCAGGGTCCAGTCTGGGCCCAGGAGATCCAAGGTCCCACTGACCCATTCAGATGCACTTGGCAGTGCTGACAGCACCCGTCCTTTGTCGGATACCATGTGGACTCATTGGCCAGTATGATACAATTGGAGGAAATCTCTAACTCTTTTGGTGGGTCAAGGGGTTGGCATCCAAAGGCACAAGTAGATGGCTCTTACTTTTCAAGCCTGCACTGAGAAAACGCTGTTGTTCACTCAGTGACATCAGTGACTCAGTTCTCATGCTGCCTCATCATCATCATAATGTCTGAGAGATGAGCATTGCTTATTCCCACTTTCCAGACTCTTAGAGGAACCGGCCCCAGGTTATTGCACAGTTTATTTAAAGCTGGGATTAGAACCTTCCAGTGGCTTTTGCTTTTCTGCAGTGTAGAGGGGTGTTACATGCAGCCGTCACTTCCTACCTTAATTCTGACTGAGGGACAATGTGGTTGGTAGCAAATAACAAAAGTCCTGTTAGGTAGATCGCGTATGCCAGCCAACAGGAGCTCAGAGAGCCAGCTCTACACACCTCTGCTGAATTCTTTCCTGGTAAAGAGCAGAAAAAGCTGACTGCCACCTGTGCTGCTCACAGGGACAAACAGGAAGCTGCATTTGGCTAAATTTCAAGTCCTGCTTTTTCCACTTCTCCTGATGGCCATTACACAAACACAGCCACATTCTGACAGTTGTCACAGAGGCACAGCTACACACTGACTCCCATCACAGAGGCACAGCTGCACAATGGCACCAGGCACAGGGGTGCAGACATACAGACATGGGTGGCACACAATGACGTCAGCACAGCTACAACGGCCACTCACAACAAGAGGAGTTGTCACTTTTGAAAAGGAAGTCATCAGCCCCTCAAACTCCAGGATCCTTCCTGAGACCATGTGCTGCATCTGGACAAGAAAAGCCTGTCCCTGCTCCCCTCACAGCCCCACTTCTCCTTCCAAAAGGGAGCTCATACATGTAAACCTCTCTAGATGAAGGGACCAAAACAAGATGGAGATGTCACGTGGGAGTAGGATTGCCATAGATCTCTATTCTCCTCTATTTATTCAGAATTTTCCTTCTTTTTCAACTGTGAATGTGAATTCTTTTTGTAATACAGAGGCATACATTCTATTTCAAATTCACATTTAAAGAGAGGAGACTGAAGACAAATCCCTTGGCACATTTGAGAAGTGAGCTGAGATATAAGAAGCTCACCTGGCTTTGACGTGTTGGGGGTTCAGAAGGAGAAAAGTAGTTCAGATTTAGCTGTAGGGAACTGACTTGGCCAGGATAGCCTGAGAAAGCCAGCTCAGTGCATCTTCGGTGAATCCTTGACCCATCTAATAACTCTCTCCAGGATGACCATCAAGGAGTAGGTGAGATAGTCTATGACCAAGAGATGGGTATACTGTCCTAATGGGACCAAGTGTCATGTGGATAAGACAGAGCCTTCTCCCTAGACCCTGCTCCTGTCTAACAGGTCATACCATAACTGGTTTTTAGGACACTACCAATCAGTGCCTTCCTGGCCCCAAGGCAAAGACTCAGAGGCTTAGAGACATGAACTAACTCGTAGACTCATAGTGGAGAATGGAAAGTCTGTGTGGATCACCTTGTTTATTCCATCCCCATACAGAGAGGGAAACTGAGGACCAGGTGAACCTACTGATTCTGGAAGACTTTTACTGTCAAGACCAAGATCGACCTTCTATAATTATCTACTGCCCAAGTCTGAACAATCAATACAAGAGTCCAGCAAAGGAGACTAAAGCTTAGAGGTGAACTTATAAATGTGAACAATCATATCCAAAAATACGATGAATGAAGCACTGGAAGAATGAAGGGAGCCTTCAGAGAACACTCCTCCATGAACTTCCCTGTGGTGTATGAGGACATAGAAGATGCACTGATCACAGAGAGATACAAGCAAGACTAAGAGGGGAGATCTGTATTGAAGGCAAGATCTGAAGTGAATGAGGTGACAAATTCAATAAGATGATTTATTGAACTGAGAAAGCCCATGATTTGCTTCCTAAGCTATAGGCATGCAAAGGGAAACATAGCTTGGCAATTGTATGTGTGGTAAATAGGACTTGACTGTGAATCTTAACAGGAAAAGAGTCTACAGAAAAATTAAACAGTTAATGCATTCAGCTGCCAACCAAAATGTTGGAGGTTTGTGTTCACCTAGAGACCCCATGGAAGAAATTCCTTCTGAAAAAGCAGCAACTCAAAGCCCTGTGGAGCACATGGTTCACCCTGAGTTAGGTTTACACCTTCTCTACCCTCAGTGTCACATCACTGCTAACATTGTCTGTCACTACCCAGGGAAAGGAGGGGAGAGGAAGAACTATGGGATCACACTCATGGATCAATCAATCTTCTCAGCAGCTCTGAAGGTAGATGTTATCATTCACAAAGAAGCAGTAGTTAGGAAATCAAAGAATGTACTGCATTGGGTAGATTGGCTGCAAAGACTTCTTTAAAGAGTTAAAGAGCAAAAAACTCTTTGCTGACCTAAGCATTTTCAATCACTTAATGTTTGTGAGCAGAGCTGAACAGAGAATAAGGAAATCTAAGACGTGATGCATTTGAATTGTGATGTTGGTGAAGACCTTTGGTACCACAGAGTGGATCCTTCCAAGGCAGGATGGTGGGACTCATAGACTCGCTTTGGACATGTTACCAAGAAGGCCCAATCCCTGGAGAAGGGCATCATACTTGGTAAAATAGAAAGTCAGCCATAAATGAGGAAGACTCTCAATGAGATGGACTGGCACCGTGGCTGCAGCAATGGCTTTGCACACAGCAACACATGGAGGAATGTGGAGAGCAGGAGGTCCTCAGTTCTGTTTTGCACAGCTTACTATCAG